AAAATTATTTTTTGCTTCGGGACCAAGTGCATAATGTTTTTAGATGTCTAAAGTACACTTTAAGCTAAAAAACAAAAAATCGATTTTTTGAAAATTCTATAGTGGTGTTACCCCTTAAATAAAAAATCTGAAAAGCTGAAACATACTAAAGATTATATTACAACATTTCCTGTAAATCATTTCTGAAGGCAGAACACATATTAAAAGATGTTACACACATTAAAAAATTATTAAGTAGTTTAATACGTCTTACTTTCATTGACGTTAACGCGTCGAAAGATGGAAGGGGAATGAAATACATTACTATTTATCCTTGAGAGTGTCGAATGCTCGGCTGTTTTTCTTATATTTTCGGCTCGAGAAATTCCTGAAAATATACATACGCATTCATAATAATCTGTATATCAAGTGTTTTGTTTTCTTATTTTCCCTCTCTCTCTCTCACTCTTTCTTTATCACTTTCTTTTTCACTCTTTCTATAGCATTTCTATTGTCAGATATACTTAAAAAAAGTAATGCTTACCTCGACGTATATGAAGAAGATAAAAAAGTTGCCACAACTATAAGATTAGGTACGTGAATTCGTGCTGTACTCTCCTCATGCTTGAAAACCTAAAAAAAAAATTAAAAAATAAGATTACATTAGTGCAATATACAAAAAATCAAATATATGAATATTGTGTACAGTGTTTTTTTTTTGTAGTATAATAAAGTATATAATACATTTCAAGCAATATCAATTTCCAGGATTTTACCACTTGGAATTTGCTGAATATGAAAACAAGTTATTAATAAAATTTATTCTTATACTAATAATTATCCTTACAAATGTTCTAAATTAAACAATGTTACTGCTATAAAATAAATAAAAATATAAAACTATATTAACCATACTTTCTTGTATAATAATATAAATTAATTTAATAATTATAATTTAAATTAATTGGATAACATAATATATATATATTATAGTATACATATACATAATTAGAATGTAAATATTTAATAATACTCCAGAAAACTGCTCGTTGCTCTACGAGATGTTCACGTGTCCAAACATAATATCTAACTGAAAATTTTGTTGTTATATTCTTGTTTTTACCCTTGAAGAAACACGAGACACGTTCATTTACTATTTTCAATTGAGCTCGGCGAAACTTCCCCTACTCTATTGTTTACATGTCGAATGCTACTATCTATTTATCTATCTATCTATCTATCTCTCTCTCTCAACCTCTTTCTCTATTAAATCTAATTTAAAAACAAAATAAACTTACGTGTCCGATGAATTTCGGCAGTTATGTAGAATTATTTCCACCGTATTTTCTGATGCGTCTTTCCATTCGTAAAATGTTTCTTAAAAAACTGTAAGTATAAGAGAAATTAGTAAAGAAAAAAGTACTTGTGTGTGTGTGTTTATATATATAAATGAGAATATAAAGAAGTATATATGTATATGTATATTTAGTATCTGTAAGTGTGACAAATATAAGATCATATCAGTGAAGCTCAAAATGTGTTGTATGTGTATAGGAATACTATGAGTATATCCATTTATATATGTGTATGTATATATTATATATGTACATGTATATTTATACATTTATACGCATGCATATATGTGTTCTATATGCATTTAATAAGTTTATTATGCATCAATATATGTGTATGTGTAATGCATAATATGTGTATATGCTTATAAGTGTATTAACTAATTAACATAAGTCGATGAAAAATTGCTAATAAGGATCATTTTAAAACGAAAGATCTATCGAGATCTTAACAATAAAGTTGGAAAATTAAAAAATAATTATTGAGTATGAACTGACTACAGGACGCCAAGAGACCGATTTTATATTTGCGGATATCTTTTAAACGCAACAATGTCTCGATTTGCTTACATTCTTTACGCGAAAAGAAATGTTACGAATTAATTAATATATTTGAAAAAGGTGAAAGTAAAAGAAATATATTAATTACCTGTAATTAACGAGGACGATACGGATTCTGTATCGGAGTAGCTGTCACAGGAACTAAAATGTCGTTATTCTACCGCCACCAGTTAAACGATTCCCGCCACATATGCGCACAGCGCCACCTTCTTATACTATAACCGGGAACAAATATATTTATTTTTTTATTTTTATATTCTTTTATTTCTTTATTCTTTTACTCATTATGAAAAAATATGCATATCATATAAAATTTGAAAGCTAAAATAATTAAATTTTTCGGTTATTGATTCTTATAAAAATAAGAGTAACTATTTTTATATTAAATTATTAAAATAAGTTCTCAACTTTGTATTCAAATTTTGTCGTAAAACAAAACTATTTCTCTTTGTGACTTCATTAGTCAAAAATATAACTAAAAAATTGATTAACATATAAATTAATGTATTTAACATTTAAAAATTCTGAAATGGTTCCATTATATTCAATTCTTATCTGTTAATGTTTAATAATAAATATTTTGTTATTTTAATTAAATATTACGATTTAATAACAATAGCTTATAACTAGTTTTATTGGACTATAACTATATGTATATAATAAATGAAAAAGAAATTATTTCATCACATTACATATATAATTTTATAAATAATATCTTTTCTCTCTATGCCAAGATAAACAAGAAAGAATAATCTCTTTCATTTTCTGACATTTTGAACAATTATGTTTAATATTGAAAAACTATAAAAACTGAACAATTAATACTTTAACATTATTTTCTTTTATGATATAGATGTGTGTACATTTTTTTCATTTTAACTTGTGTAATTTGTTGCTATAATTAAAAATTATAAGAATAAGAACACTAAAATAAACAATACACACATTGCATATTATTGTACTCCCATAGATAGTTCTTAAAAAATCAGGAACATTGTTTATACCATCTGAAAATATAATTAGAATTAACGTACAAAATCAAAGCAATAATTTAAGTCAAAGTAATGAATACAAAAGCGTTAAAACAAAGAAAAAAGTTCTGGTACCAAATATAAATCTACAAAGATCGTTTCCCTAGCTTGTTATTTCTTGTTTTCCATTCTGTAAAAGATTATCGGTAGGAGGGATCAAAACCCACGGTGGCTAAGTAATATTGCACACAGTACAATGGTTTTCTCGTGCAATCAACGAGAGGACATATTTGAATCAGTGTATTCGTGTTATATCGTGTACGTGTCGTTTACATCTGTGTAGATGTTAGTGTCATAATGCTTTCGCACGTTCTTTCATTACGATCATTACATCATTCTCGAGGATGTCGACTTTTCATCGTTAATGGAATCTTTGGAATCCCTCTAGCAAGGCGTGTCGTATAAAATAGTTTTCTTTTTTCTTTTTATCATGGTAATAAGTTCTTCATGCTATCAAGTAGAGCGAAAAATTGTATGGTTATTATCAACCAAGTTTTTCTGTCTATTAAACAATAAAATAAATCATACATAAAATATAATACTCTACAATACTAAACTATAATTAACATTAATCTTGAAACGATATAACTAATTATTTATTAATATTATCACAGAAATTTATATATTTGCAATTAAGAGAATTATAGATGCAATTAATATTCCTTTCGATTTTATCTTTTTTCTTTATTCCTTATCAACGATTAAGAATTTATCTCCTAGGATCATTAATAAGTTACTTTATTCCAAGAGATCAGATAAGCTTGCTATAAAGTAAAGATAAGAAGAATTTGTTTAAAATGTACATTACAATTAATGTCAAAATTCGTGTAGATTGATAAGAATTAAACGAGTCGGATGAAATAGGTAGATAAAAGTAAAAGTAAAAAAGACAGGATTATAGTGAACGGTTCGATGAGTTCTGGAGGATTATGTCACTTACAGGAATGGGGAAAGATTCCTACAAAATGAAGCCGGGTAAACGGTTGGTTCTTTTCTCGTAGAACTCCGCGGGGTGAATCAGTCCTTTGTGCCTGGCTCTCTCAGGGTCAACCACTTTCGGTGCAGTATATGCCTTCTCAACGTTTATGTGTACACTCGCAAACACGCTCGCTCGTCTGAGCGTTCCTATAGGGTGTCCTGGAAATCGTCGCTTGAGACTTAGAAAACTCAATTCCTATTAGATTTTTCATTTTCTCTTTCCAACAATAAGACAGTTTATTTTTGAATAGAAGTTATTCTTGTTATCTAAAGAAGAAAAATGAAAATATAGAGTGTACAATATGTTAAACATAGAAAGATTAAAAATAACAAAATTGTGGTAATTTTTAAATAATGTTTTACTTACAAATATAACCGAAATTTTTATTATAAACGTATGAGACCAAATATAAATATTCTATTTCCATCTGAAAAGAAATAAATGAAAACATATATGAAAATGTATTTTATATTAAATATTGATAAGTTAAATAGAAAAATTCAAAAATTCTGTTTGTTTAAAAAAATAGTTTTTCACTTACAAACAAAAGATAATAATAATATAAATATGTAAGGATATCGAGTACGAATGCTGAAGGAAGATTCATCCTCTCACGGTTCTCACATCTATCTCTCGTTTGTATCTCTCTCTTTCTTTCTTTCAAAGATTCGAACTCGCTTCGTGAAACAACGTCACTCTGGCTTGGATTCACGCCAGTGAGTTCAACCGTCGTCGGTTGGTACAGTCGAATGGAAAATCAGTAGTATTAACATATATCTGAACATACATAAAAGTTTCAGAAAAGATACATATACCTATATGTAAAATTAGTTTATAATATATCATTTTCCCTTTACCCTTAATTTCAAAATCTTCAATAAAATATAAAATGTTAATTCTACTTAATAACAATAGTTTATCCATTAACATATATCTAGACATATATAAAAGTTTCATAAAAGATATAGTATAGTGGATAATATATTAATTTCCCTTATTCTTATCAAATTAAATTTATGTTGTCATTTTCAATTGAAATAAATATTTATATTAGTTAAAATAACGAGTGGTATCTAATAATGATTTTTGTTCTTTCAGAATCCAGACGCATGACAGAGGAAAGGGCTGGCTCGTCTTTAGAAAGCGAAAAGGCAATCGGAAAATGTCGGAGATCGGTGGGGATGGTGGTACTGGTGGTGAGAGTGGAATGGACAATCTAGCATTTGCAATAGAAGATGAATGCGCAAATAGCACAGAACAACACATTGAGAACAATACCCATGAACAACAACAAAGCAACAAACAACAAGTGAACCTAGAACAGGATTACAGGTCACCGTCTGATACGATTGGTTCGCCAACAGAAAATGGTCATCGTCGATCTTTCGTCTCTCAGCATTATGTTGAGCCAGTAAGGAGTAGCCCAGAGCCACGTTACAAGTCTGAGACGAAGATCGAGTTACCACCAACGACTGGTGGACAAACTCCAGATAAGAATTCCACGAGCGAGCCGAAGCTCAACGGCGTTCATGGAAATGGCAACAACAACGATGCTAGCTTCCTCAACAGCAGCGCCACAAGCGTCCAGGTCAACGGTAAGTTAGGGTCGTAGACCGTGAAGAAGAAGTAAAGAAAAAGAAAAAGATAAAGAGAGAGAAAGAAAGAGAGAGATAGAGAGAAAGAAGTAAAGAAAGAAAACGAAAGTTTGTTGAACTGAGCTCTAGCTAATTCTTCAATTCGAACAATTCTTTAAATAATTGCAAAAAATATTTATCATTCACAGATAATGGAAAAAAGGAACAGATTGAAGCAGTGAATTTAGAATTGGTCTCCATGAGGCCCTATACTGGAAACAATATTCAAACGAAGGGTCAGGAAGCATGCGAGGTACCAGCCGATCCTTACGAGGAATACTTTGTTCCTGTTAACGAACATCGAAAGTATATTAGGTAATATAACGAAAACAGTCAAAAAAAGGAAAGAAACGGAAAAATATGTTTGTCTCTATTTTGTTTACTCCTTACTGTTGTTGTTGTTGTTGTTGTTGTTGCTGTTGTTCACTTTTTCTGTTCATTGTTATTTATATTACGATTATTATTTATGATTAATTCTCATATCTTTCTTCTAATTCTAATTAACTCTTTCGCGTGCACTGTTTACCAGCCCGGCGAGCCTGCCTAGCGATTTTCTGAGAATGAAGGTAGTTAACAATTTCCTTCCACTTTCTCCAACCCTTTTTTTGCCGCTGTATTTATGCTCGGGGTGCAGGAATTTCGTTCGTGAAAGAATAAATGGAAGGATGATGATGATGATGATGATGATGATGATGATGATGATGATGATTACAATGGTGAACAGAATATTCTGAAAGAGAAAGAAAAAACTTTGCGTTAAAAATTATGTCATCGCTTACGAAAAAGAAAAAAAAAGCAATAAAAGAATACAAAACGATCATCCTTCGTAAAGCAAGCGAGCGACGAATTTTAAATGATGATTTTTAAATTTACTAAGAAAAACGTTAAGAAAGACACACTATGAATAAATTCTTCATTCGTCTAAGTAGCATCACTCTCTTCTTATCCTTTTGCTAATAGCAGCTATCCGGTGTAAAAGACGAGACTAGGTTTACCGATCCGTACGAATCCTCGTTGACTTTTCCGTCTTCTTCTTATGAGCTCGGATTAAAGTGCAAAACGCGTAAAGCCTCTTTGGAGATGCGGTCGTGGCACGAGGTGACTTTAACGTCGGCATACTAACTAACTAACGTATATACGTACGTTTCGATGACATTAGATCGGCGAATCATGTAGAGTCAAATAATCGATTAGGTGAAAAAAAAATTCCTTCAGACTCTATACACGTGAATTAGACGATTAAAAATGAATTAAAAAGAAAAGAACAAATTTTTGTTAAATAACAAAATATATACGTGATAATTGTGCACGTGTTGGTGAAAATTATTGAAAAAAAAAAACATATGTACGTGAGAAGAAACACTTACTTTTTATCAGATTCGCGATTCCATTTACTGTTCACCAAACAAGTAAAAAGAAAATAAGAGAAAAAGAAAGAAAAAAGAGAGTATGTGTGTGAGAAGAGAGAAAGAGATGGGTGAAAGTGTCAGACGATGTTTTCTGTTACGCCGATACATAGCAGGGGTCCCGAGGCCGAGGTTGAAACAACCGTGGCTGGAGTACGTTTTGATTTGGGCCCGGGTGTCGGCCGTGAAGGACTCAGCCTGAGAGATCCGGCCGCCGGACTGGTTGACTATTCCCACTGGCTTACAGCCCTCAGGTACTTGAAGGATGCTTTCGAGGATGAGGAAAATGGGGAATAAACAAAACAACAAAAATTAAAAACCAAAAACCAAATAAAACCAAAAAAAAAAGAAACAATACTGACGACTAAGGGATATATAAAAGAAACCTTTTTTCTTGCCTTAATGCGCCAGGGAAGGGAAGGGCATTTGGTAGCGGACTAACCCGCTTCTATATTAGATTCCACTGACTCTGCTTCGAGTTCATCGATGGTCGCATAATCTTGCTCGACCACTTCGATAGTTCGAAATCTGTAGGCATACTATCGATAACACCCACGTTCGCTATTCGTTAATTCAGTCGACTGGTTCGTTGATCTCAACTTTCTTCTCATAATCATCCCTTTAAATTATTTGTCCTTGACTTGCAGATTACTCCTCGACTGTGAAAGTAATATATATACCCACGCATAAAAACGTGTATACAATAAGATGATTATCCATTTCCACTCCCATTTTTTTTTTATTAGCCCTTTTTTCATACCAACGACCTGAAAACAAAAAATAATAATTGTATCAATGTATAATATATGCTTGATACTTTGTAAAATATGATTATTGTATAGTGATATCTGACTATCGAGGGAAAGCTTCTAATATCACGGCCGGTTGCTGATGAAGGTTTAGCAATCACGTTTGCGTGTACATTAGCGCTTTAAACGCACCTACGCGTTGCATGATGACCGCAGCTGATCGATTGCTGCGGTAGTGGTTGAAAATTGATGCGGTTTATATATAAAGGAGATAAATAGGTTCCTTACGAGTTGACCGATATATAATTGTCAGAAATAAATGCGATTTCGCGTTGACATAGAATATGTGACGATTTTGTTACGTTGGTGTGTTTAAGGCTTAACGCTGTACAAAAAACGCTTATCATTGGGGCCCTGGATATGGGAGATAAATAAAAAGAATTCTAATAATGATTTTTCGTTCATGTTAAATGATAATGTGTTGCAGGGGAGAAAAATTGTATGTTACCAAGGATAAAAGGTCTAGGAGTTCGTATTGGAGAAGAATGGCATGTTGGGGATGTGGTGTTTTGGTTCTTGCAATTGCAATCATAATCGCTATTTTAGCAGCAAGTAAGAAAATATATATGATATACGCATATTTATTATTTCACATTTTCTACGGAAATATTTTCAATGACAAATTTGGATCATTTTAGCTGGTGTGATTCTCACTCAGGAAGCTACTGAACCTTTGGATACCATAGACCAAACTAGTTCTCGTCAATTCAATGGTGCTCAAATAGCTGAAAGTCAAGAATACATGAAAAATCCACCTACGAGTCCACCACCTGAAACTTCTACTTTTCCACCATGGCCTACGACAGACGAAACTTGGTATCCAACTGTACCAGATGTTTTAGATGGTATATTGAAGTTAGATAATTTAGTATGGAAAGAAGAAATGAGTGATGTTGAATCTAGAGTGTACAGAGAAGTTGCGACTGAGATAGAGAGGCATCTTCGAACTATAATTAAATTTAGAGCTTCACCAGACATCAAGATTTATGATATTAATAAGAATTCTGAAGTTAAGTTCAGAATAAATCATTCCTTGTGGGCTACTCCGAAAGAAACTCAAGAAGGTATCGAGAAAGTTATTCAAGAAAACGGTAATATGGTTGGAAGATATCATCTTGGTAGATTGCAAGTAAAAGAACTTATTGATCAATGTCAAAATAATAATTTCGGTTGTGCGGAAATATGCAAGTTCGATTATTCGAAAGGATTCATATGTTCTTGTATGCCTGGAAAAATATTAGACAAGAATGGAAAAGATTGTTTGGGTGAGAACGATTTGAGTCACATTGAAATGGATGATACAGTAGAGTCATCGAGCACAGAATCAACGAAAAATTTCGTTGGTAGAGGTCGGGGTCCAGGAATATTATTTGAACCTGGACATCCCGATGGTTGGGATCACTCAGATTTAGTTACAAATTCTATGAATAATCAGTCGTCAGTTAAAACAAATGTTAAACCTACCGAGAAATCTATAAATCCAAATGAAGAAATATCAGATAAAAGTATGGGAAATGAACCAAATCCTGTATCAGAACCAACTGATGATTCAGAAATTTCAAGAGCTCATAATTCTGATATTACTAATTGGATGCATGAATATTCTAAGCATCCTATAGAAGTACCATCTGCTGAGCCAAAGCCGTCTGTTGACCCAGAACCGTCCACAGAACCGGAGCCGGCTTCTGAACCGGAGCCGGCTGCAAAACCAGAGTCAGCTGCTGAACCAGAAACAACTGCTGAACCAGAGTCAGTTACTGAGCCAGAACCATCCGCAGAACCGGAACCGAATGCTGAACCAAAACCGATTATTGAACCAAAACCATCTGCTGAGCTAGAATCGTCTGCAGAGCCAGAACCATTTGCAGAGCCAGAACCGTCTGCAGAACCAGAACCGTCTGCAGAACCAGAACCGTCTGCAGAACCAGAACCGTCTGCAGAACCAGAACCGTCTGCAGAACCAGA